GCCCCCTTCCCACGCCATCCTGGGGGACCCCCACCCCCTTCCCACGCCATCCTGGGGGACACCCTGCGTCCTGCTTTGACTTACATCCACAGCGCAACGCGGGTGACCTCCATCCCCTCAACCAGCGCTCAGCGCTGCCCCCTGCCACGTAGCCGCCCGAAGAGCTCGATGTCCAGTGTAGACAAGCCGCTTCCACCGGTGACACGGTCTTTTAACGCGTCGCAGTGTTCATGGGCGGTGGTAAAGTATTTAACAGGCGTTCACGTCGCTCCACGGTAACAGAAAGAAAAACCTGTTTTTAGCTGCAAGCGCCCAGTGCAGGAAATTTGGTTGAACAACACAAATGTGCTCACCGGAAAGTAGCCTCCATTGTAACTCGAGGAACAGTGTGTCATGCCACACGTGTGACACACCCTTCAGTTATTTTCAAAAGTTTCTTTGTGTCTCTCCAGGGCCTGCAAGCATTCGACCCATGAAAAATATCACAGCAATAGCAGGACGGGACACGTACATCCACTGCCGGGTGATCGGCTACCCCTACTACTCCATCAAGTGGTACAAGAACTCCAACCTGCTGCCCTTTAACCACCGCCAAGTGGCATTTGAGAACAACGGGACTCTCAAGCTCTCGGATGTGCAAAAGGAAGTCGACGAGGGAGAGTACACGTGCAACGTGCTGGTTCAGCCTCAGCTGTCCACCAGCCAGAGTGTCCACGTGACCGTCAAAGGTAAGGCCACTCTGACCCACACAGGTCACCGGGGCATAACTCCCCGGCCTCACCACACCCGTGATTTGAAGAGCAGCGGTCTGAGAATCGCCTATTTAGAGCAGGGTGGCGATAGAGACTGGAGAATGAGAGAATGCTTGGGACGTTGTGCAGGCAATGTAACTCCTTTTATATGAATTCTTGGCCTGGTTTTCTAGAGGGCATGTGTTGTTAATATGCCATGGGAAATGGAAACACACCATCATTCAATCATCTGGCTGTCTGACAGAGAACATAACAGACACGTACCTCTCTTTTCCTAAAAATCTCCTCAGAGACAGTTCTTTTAGATTCGAGCTGGAATAAGAAGTTCAGACAAACTTCTCATCTGTGAAGATACTCAGGCAAGTAGCAACAGAGGTATCCTAGGACTAAAAGGAGCCCAAGATAAATATTCCTGACAAATTATTTTCCACATCATAACATGAACTGCTGTGGACTCTAACCAGCAGGAAGAACTCTGGAGACTGTCCTCAGCTCCAGCATCCTCCTCAGGGATGACGGCAAAACGACAAATCCTCTCAGGCCGTAGCTTTTGGCTGGCAAACCTTCACAGGGGAACCGTGCTCCCGGCTCCCAAGTCAGTTTCCTCAGCTGCACAAAAATGAAATTTCCCAAATACGTAAACAGTCAACATAAAGTAGGTCATGAAAATCACTCACATATCATGAAACAATTTCAGCAATCTGCGGTGGCCTCATGCCGCCTGTTGGAGCTGCCCAGATTCATTCCCTGGTCCCAACTATTGTCGTTTAGTGTCCTCGCTGCAAACTTGCATAGGATTCCCATGGTTTTCTCCAATCTTCTTACCCACAAATTCTGTTAGTTTATATTGTTAGAAACTGAAGATACAGACACAGTCTCTAGCTGTACATAGTATTATATGCTGTGTAGCAGCTATTAAATATTAACTACAACTGTGCATAATTTTTGTTAGTAGCAACATCCTAAGACATTTCTCAAACTATTAGACATCCCTAGTAAGCCAGGCCGGTCCTAACTGCATCAAATTTTATTTTGTGGTTGTGCCTGTTTCTACGTGGACCGCCTAGTGTGCGCTAGCTGTTCTTCGAGGCATTGAGACAGACACCTGTGAGGCAGGTAGACAAGGTCCTTTCCTTTATGGGACTCTCCTTCCTATCCAAGAGATGAACAGTAAACAAATAGTACAGGTGAATAAGCCAGAAAATATGTTATAGTTTCCAATGCTGTGCAGAGAATCACCACATTCGAGTATCTGAGAGTAGCTGCTGTGGAGAATTACCAGCCACATCAACGGATTTTTTCTGCTCTGCTCTCTGAAAGTCATTGTTCTCTCATCCCCTGGAATGGGGTTTTGTAATCTAAGAGGTGGATCGTTTGGAAATTACTGGCTCGCTGAGTTACGTAGATCTTCTGAACGCTGACCCAGTTCTTTATACACTATCAGAACATCACTGTTACCGCATCAGACAGAGAAGCTGTCAAGCTCAGAATGACAGATACAGGTTTTCCAAAATTTTGCTTTTTTGCTTCAAAGTTTGAACTTTTTATTTGCAGTGAACAGTCAGTCACGCCTGTAAGCACGTCAGGCCCATTTCTTTATTTTCAAGAAAATGTCTTCCAAAGGCACAGGTCTGGTAACTACAGTTTCCCGGTAGCCATTCAGTGGAACACATGGAATCCCATGGCAGCGTGGCCTGCTGAGCCTGCAGCGCACAAACACCTGTTGCCTGCTGACAGCCGCCCCCTCAGCTGGCTGCGATGTGCTGGGGCGTCTTCCAGGCCGGTTACTCACACGGGCCCTGGTCCAGGGCCAAGATCCGCTAACAGGATTATTTCTGTTGGTTCATCAAACTTCCTTAGGTGAAACAAGGTTTAAAAAAATAAAGTAGGGGCTGGCACTGGGGCTGATGCCGAGGACCCGGGAGAGTCCCTCCTGCGTCCTTGTGTCCATCTGCGAATAGCCACACCGTGGACACGGAAAACAGCATCTTAATATCGTAGCCACAATGGCCATCTTCTCGCAAGCTCCTAGAATGGCCTCAGGGATCCCCAGGAGTCCACAAACTACATTTTGAAAATACCTGTTTGGAAACTAGTTTCTTGCTAATGTTAAATCATTATGAAAGATGCCTCGAATAAATTTCTTTACGCACCGGCCTTTGCCTGCTTTTAAGGTGATTTATTTAAGGAAAAGTTTTGAGAAATATGACCATCATATAAACGGATTTAAATATTTTAGTGCCAATTTCGTAGGAGACCTAAGTTCAAACAGAGGCCATTTGAGTCATTAACTTCTATTCTTAGGATGCCCAGACCACCATAATTCGGTGTAGTAGTCCTGATCCTTTGATTTTCAAATGACAGAAATCAGCTTAAATTAGCTTATCCCCAAAAGGAGACTGTACTGACTTTGGAAGGTGTTAGAGCGCTGGTTTTAGGAAGCAGTTTAATCAGATAGTTTTATTTTTAGAGTTTAAGTAGATGTCATGGAACGGAAGCGGTTTGCGCTCCTTCGCGAAGCCCGCCCGCCCGCAAAAGAAGGAAGATACTTGCTGTGAGGGTTCCTAACTCGTGGTAGGAGTGGCTGGAGCAGGGGTGTGGCTGTTGGGAGTGGGAATTTGCGCTGTTTAGCAGGGTGGTGGCGAAGGCCTCTGTGCAGGCGGGTCTCTGCTAGCACTGGGGGGGTGGCTGAGCAGAGGTCGGCGGGAGCAGGTTCCGGAGAGGGGCGCCCGGCCAGCAGAGGCGGCAGGGGCCAGTGTGGCTGCGGCCCCGCACAGGGGACATGTTAGTGTCTGCGCGGGAGGCCGCGAGGCCACCCCAGTAGGGACTGCCCTCCGGGCGCAGGTTCGGAGGGCGCGTGTTGTTCCTCTGAGGTGGGCTCAAGCAGGTGATGCCACCAGAGGAGTCACATGGCCTGACTCAGGCTTTAAATCCGACTTCTGAGTCCTGTGCTAAGAAGCTAGCAGAAAGGAAAACAAGCTGTTAGACAGCTAATCCAGGTGTGTGGGGGGGTAGAGCTGTTAGAATATAATCCAGGTGTGCGCGCGCGCGTGTGTGTGTGTGTGTGTGTGTGTGTGTTGAGCTGTTAGAATATAGTCCAGGTGTGTGGGGGGTGGTGTAGGGTGAGCTGTTAGAAAGTAATCCAGCGGGAGGGAGGCTGGCAGGACCGGGAGAGAGCCGTAGAGGTGGGAAGGAAGAAGAGTCTGGACATGCCCTAAGGCCAGTGAGTGGACCCGAGCAGCCTGGCCGTGCGTGGGCGGAGGGCGAAAGGCGGAAGGGCAGCGCCGCACTGCGCCTGCATGAAAGCGGAGCCCACGGCCCCCCGTGCAGAGGGTGCAGAGAGGCGGCGGGCGGGAGGAGACCAGTGCAGCGCAGGGTCGAGGCTGGACATGTGCGGGACAAACAGGTGGACCCATAAGCAGGAAGCGACCTGCGGGCGTGGAGTCAGGAGCCGCCGAGTTCGGGGTCAGCAAGAGGGCGGCCAGGTGGCCACGCCGGGTTGCCGAGCCAGGGCTGCGCGTTCCGGCCCCCAGACACGCTCCTGAGAGTCGTGCGGCCGCTCGGGGGTCGAGTACCCGCCGGGAGACGGCAGGGGGCAGGCCGTGAGGAAGGTGCGTCACGGGGACGCTGCGGCGTGCAGGAGCCCAGGTGACGTCGGAGACGCACTGCGCTTAGTCCTGTCCCCTCTGGCACGCGCCCCCGGCTCCGCGACTGTCCACCTCTGGCCGACCCCCACCGAGGAGCGTGCCCGTGACCGAGGGGCTTGGAGGAACCCCAGGACGGGTAGGAGCAACGCGCTGGTACCACTGCGCCGACACTCAAGGAGCCGCGAGACTCGCTGACCTGACAGAGGCCTTTGCTGCCTTCAGCGCGTGGGGAGGAATGAAAGGCAAATGTTCTTTCGCGTCACTTCAGTTTAACGAGCGGCTTCTGTTTCACACATTTCAAGCCCTGCTCGCTCTCGTCTTGGGTGCCACATTGAACTCGAGCAGCGCCTAATTGAGTGTTCTAATTGCTGGGGCTCAGCACTGCCAGGAAAGTTAATTGGCTGCTAGACTCAGCTGTCACCTTCCATTTGTATTTATATAAAACTTTGTAGTTTACAAAACACTTTCGTATGTGTAACCTTAATTAATACCCACACTGTCTCCATAATGCGTGAGCACCACCAGGGCAGAGCCGGGGCTGAGGCTGCTCAGAGCGGGTGGCGGTCGTGACAGCGACGGCCCAGACCCAGCGCCCCCCCCCCAGAAAGTGTCAGGGAACCGTGGGCGAGGAGCGTGAGCAAAGATGAGAGCAGAGGACCCAGCGAGGAAGCTACCTGGGAAGTCTAGGGTGGAGGTGATTTAAGGAGCAGGGACGCATGGCGGCCCCTTTTGTGAGGGTGGGCGGGGAGGGGAGACTTACTCACAGTGCGGGGTTGCGTTGCGGTCACATTGCAGGCAGGGAGGGTAAGAGCCGGAGCCCGCGGTGCAGGCGCGTCTGGCGACGGGCAGGTGTCCGCAGTCGGAAAGCCCGAGAGCAGGGAGCCTGGGCGTGCGGGCTCTGTGGGCCGCTGTTTGTGCTCAGACTGTGGGAAGCTTCAACTATTTGGGGAGCAGCTGCGGTGTGCAGAGAGCTTCTACTTGAGCAGCCGAGAGTCTCAAAGAAGCAGCAAGGGTGCTTCCTACTGTTTTGCAAAACAAGCACCCCAATTTCCACTCCCGCCAACGATGCGTTCCCGCTGTGGACCGCGACGCATTCCTGGTCTTGTCGACGCAGGTGCACACGCGTGAGGAGACGCGCCGCGGATGTCTGGATTTCGTTTCTCTGCTAAAACAGGCCTGTGCCTTCCCCCCTTGCTCAGCGTGTGACTTCGGGAAAATGCCCGTCCGGCTCTTCTGCCCATTTTTGTTTGCTGTGCTTTGGTCTGTCAAGGTGTTTTGTTGTTGTTGTTTTTTATTACAAAAGTTTATTTTTACATCATTTTGTACATT